CATCATATCCTTTAAGACATTCAAACCATGAAATCATCACATGCATCACTCATATGCATAGTCTTGCTCTCTCTATTTGATCTACATCAATGTATGTATAAGTTGTTTTGTCTCATATTTTAAAAAAAATTCTCTTTGTTTTAGGCTTTAGAGTCATCAAAGTTGGATTGATGTGTGTTTCAAGTCAATGTGTAGGTGTGAGGATAGAAAGATCGAACAGAATCGATATTTCTGCATGCTTCCGTCCGGATGACAATTGCGACGATGTTTTCGATGGAGACTGTTATTGCTGCCCCAAAACGCCAGATCTTTTCTGGGAAGACCAACAATATTGCAACACCTATTGTCAATCTCAAAATTAAAACCCTTAATAAACTGATACAGCTACGTTCCATTTCAAATTTTCCAAGTATTCTTGTAATCCTTAATTTATTATTCGCTTCAATAAAAACAAGAACGATCTATATATGATTATCTTGATTCTCTGTTTAGTGTGCACTTGATTGCATCAAATATAGTTTACAAATTGGTTAAAGACTTGAGAGAAAACTACTTATTCAACAGAGAATTGACACTTACATGATGTTTTAACTAGCCTTTGTTATTACGAAGAATTATATTTTAACTTTTGAACTGGCTTTCCTGGATAGTAGATTTACTATATGTATTTTAGTAGATTTTTATTCAAACAGATTTATTATTTATGTTGGATTGAAAGATATAACAAAGTAGAAGGCTCAACAAACTATTTGATCTATATGATTTTGAATCCTTAAGAAGGTAATAACAAAAACCTCATTATCTCTTACAGAATTGCATATGTGCTAATAGAACATTCTTGGCACCACATTTTCATTTTGAAAATAAAATGAATGTCGTTAAAAAAGAAAAGAAAAATAAATGAATTCTTGTCGGTATAATTTTGGCTTAACCATATTTTGGCAGATATAGCTATCAACTACGTACTGAAAGAAAGCTCAAGATATATCAACCCGAAATATTTGGAAATTGACCCAAAATCTCAAAGATCGTGATCGAAGAAAATAAAATACTGTCCTACCTAATTAATTAAGCTTCTCCTATAAATTGATTAAGCTTTGTATTTTACACTAACTAACAAAGAAAACCTAAAAAATCACAATATAATATAATTTGATACATCCAAACCATGAAACCATCACATGCATCTCTCATCTGCATACTCATCATGCTCTCTCTCGTAGCTCTACATCAGTGTATGTACATAGAGATTTTCTCATATATATTAAAACTGTCTTCAGTCTTTACTATCATATCATCAAATTTGAGTTGATGTATATTTTTAATTTAATAGGTATGAGGATAGAAAGATGGAACAAAATCTATTTACCTCCATGTTTCCGTTACAGTTGCCATGTTCTCAAAAGAGACTGTTATTGCTGCCCGTCAAAAGATCTTTGTTGGAAAGACCAACTCTATTGCAACACCCATTGTCCTTAATTTATATACCTTTTAATAAAAAATGTATAGTAAATTTCAGATTTTTCCAAGCATTTTTGTAACACTTAATTGCACCGCTTCTCTTAAAATTTACTATTTGCTTTAGAAACAAATAAAATGAATTCTTATGGATATAACTTCTACGTTTCCTTCAATATACTTTTTCACATTTACACATAAATGAACAAGATTAAAACCAAAAAAAAAAAAATGGTGAAAGTAGCCCTTATAACCAGATATCACCTAAAACACCATTCAATTTTTTTTTCATTTTTTAACGAAAAATATGAATTCCTAAACCCTAATTAAAAACTTCTTTAAGGACATTTTGGATTCTTGCCTGGTCCTCCATAGTAAAAATAATTCCCCCAAGCTCGATTAGATCCACCTTGAATATCGTAACAATTCGGATGATCCGCAAGTACTTTAAGATTCGGAGAAGGCACTAAATTGTTATCCCAATCAACTACTTGGATGTTTCTGAAATAAGAAGATTTTGTGAACCCTTCTTCTGCAAAATATCCACTTCCCATTTGTGTCGAAGTGTGAGTACCAAATGGACTCGAGTTTACGACTTCTCCACCGTATTGGACCATACTCGCGTGCTCCCTTAAGTGTGTGAACAAGAACGATGGCCAATATCCGACTAGAATACCCGACCCGAATTCTAGCCACCAGTTCCCATGCTTCGGATCCTGATATTGATGAATAATAATTAAATATACTTTTAAGATTCCTCATCGAAGCTACAAGATTGGCATCAAATAAATGTAGGAAATGGTTTTTTTAAAATATTTAAAGTTACATGAATTTCAATGCACAAAAAAATATGGTTTAATCTGCTTGTTGTCCTTGGAAAAACTAATAAGAAAAATGCATGCCTTTAATTATGACCCATGTGAGGCTAGAGAAAAAAAAAATAGTACTATTATTTTGATAACTTATGAGCCATGCTCCTAGTATTGCTTCGAGAGTCGGTATGTTTAACTATTTGGGGACAAATGTATCAAAAAAAATTGAAAAAAGAATAACTTAGAACAAAAGTAAAGAGTTGAAATAAGTGGTATGATACTCAAGTATACTTCCCTTTTCTCTTAAAAATGATAAAAAGAGAAAAGAAGAGCATCTTGTAATTAAAGCATATGCAATAGATTGTTATTTAGGTATACTTGATTTTCAAAGATTACTATTTCAAAAATCAACAAATTAATGAATCTTGTAATCAAAGTATGATTAGAGGAGAGAACATGTTGATTATAAAGATGTATATATATTTGAATTTTACCTTCCAAATAAGCAGAGAAATATCGAATTGTCCACCTTTGTAAGAAGACGAGGGAGAAATTGCAGCTCCAATCGCAATCTCACTATTGGTTTGGACAAAACCGGAACACAAGAGATTGTAGCAACCTGTTGCTTGATATGCATCGTTCTGTCTCCAAAACATATGACCTAATTAATTGCATAAACTTTGAAGAAAAAACTACATACAATATAAATACTGAAAAAAATCATATTATAAGCACAACATG